AGGAACAGTGCAAGGGTATATAAGTCATTTTTAACTCCAAATACTTTGAGCTGTGCAAGTACCATCATAACTAGATAAAAAGTAATTGTTTAATTAAACGGTTAGGCTTGTATTTAACTAAAAGCTCTTGGTCTTGCATATAACGTGTGTCCTCCTTCCTGCTCATGATAAGATTCAAAATGTGATAAAATGGAGAATTCAAGCAATCTAGTCTTCAATTTGGATGCAACATACTGTTAACAGAGGGTAGAGCAGTCTGCACTGAGAGTAGAGGACTGAGATTGGAAGGAGAAAAAATGTCAGCGCATGCTGCAGTCCTGACAAGCCTTGCCAGTAAACACAGGCGTTTCTAGGTGCAGATGGGGGGTACTACAATCTCATTTCTTTTAAAATGACTCATCACTAATGGCATGCATTGCAGATGAAAATCCAAAGAAAATTTAACAGAACAGAGCTGCACCCGGGAAGCTCTCTGGCTCTATGAAATGGGCTGTGTGGTCCATTGGGAAATACAGGTTTGACAAATTTATAAGACCAGTAAAATGAAATGACAATGGCTTATTACTGGGTTTGAAAACTGCTTGAGCTAAGTAGCACATTTTACTGTCAGGTGGGAGCCAAAGATACAGGCTTGCAATTGAGCATGAGCTATGTTCACAGCCTAACATACTTGCTTGTGATTGAGTGTGAGCTATGCTCATCCCCTGCAATAATGAAATTCTCCCTGTGAGTCCTGTTTCAATTTCTACATGCTCTGCTTCACTCTTGTTTTGCCACTGCCAGAACATTTGCCGAGTTTCAATCATTCCTCACTGATAAATTTGAAAAATGGAGGGATGGAAAAGATAACAGCACTCTGGGATGGCAGCTGTTGCTGTGCAATAAAAAAATACATACCTAAAGCAGTAGGCTACAGCCTCCCTAAATTCACTCAGGAATTCATTGCAGGGTATATAAATGAATATGGCAATACTTGGCTAGAGATACATTGTGATGTTGAATAGCCCACCATGGCAGCCATCTAATACATTTAGGGATTGTACATGTGTATGCTCTATGTTCTGTCTGCAGCATAGCATAGTATTCAGCCACAATGCTGTCTGAATCAGGTTCGGGGAATAGGGATATTGCAGACATGTATATGAGAGGAAGTTAATAGTGGTTGCTGGCATGCTTATATTATCATTATTTTTATCATTATTTAATTTCATCCAGTAGAGTTGTTTTGATCAGAATTGCATTTCTAGGACACTCAATTCATGACTCATCTCTCTACTATCCTTAGGATGTTAAACATGGCCTGTGTTCAGGTTACGCACAATAAATGGTACATTTATCTTAGAGAATACATAATGTTATGGTCCATTTAGCAAAGAGCAGTTATAATGTTAGTGCAATTCAGATTGCTCTCGTTCAACTTACAGATTCATTGTAAATAATACTTTGAGAGAGAGGTAAGCTCTTTTGTTTCTTAGTCTCCTACAATGGGTCCACTGTTTCTTTACTATTCCCTGGAGAACATTTTCCTTAAGAAATGAAATTATTAAATCCATACACTGTGTTGTTACATTAGTATGTTCTAACTACTAATCCTATCTCTGCTCTTTTGAATAGCAGCTGACTTCAATAGCATCAAGACTAATTGTGAAATGAGGTGTGGTTGTAAACTAACACAATGGAAAGCACAACAGCAAAGCAGCAAGATCCCAGGATCTCCAGAAAGGTACCCTTAATTCCTCTGCCAACCCTTAAATGACATCTGGAAAGGGGTGGATCCTGGTTCCACCCCTTTTGTTCACTCAGGTACATTGCATGCACCTGAGCTCCCCTGGGTTGGCCTTACCTTCCTACCAGGTGCCCCATCACTAGTTCAGGCTATGACTTAGCATTTTCACTACATAAACACAAAACAGATGATGAAATCAAACCTTGCCAAGTGTCTCTTATTGTTACTTAAGTGGTTAGTTGCTTCTGTGCTCTTTTCTCTGTTGTAATAATGAGGTTTTGTTGGGAGAAGTCATCTCTGACAGGACAGCTCTCAACATGAAGCGAGAATCACATCTTGTGTATGAGTTCTAGAACATAAAAGTACTTAACTGGAGAAATCATAGGCAGAGAAAGTGAGCAATATATTCCTCTATTTGTCAAAGTCCTTAGGTCAGTATAAGAGTATAGAGTAGAAGCCACAGATAAGTTATTCAGGACAGCTAAGGCTATTGGTGTCCTTAGGGCCCTGCCCCTATTCTCCTTAGCCACATTATTATTCATACAGCCTCTTCATGCTAGCAAAAGACCCAGAATGTTGGTCAGTTGAAATACCACAATAAGATCAGAAGTATCTTTCTTCTAGTGAAGCAGCTGTATCACGTGGTCCCTTGTAGATCTGGGGACACAACAGAGCTCCACTATTGAACTGAAATCACATTCTCAAGATGGTAATGGCTTGAGTGTACACAAAGAATATTCTAGCATGGAGCATTGACTAAAGGGTAATGATGCAGTCAGTTTAAACTATAATTCAGGCTTTGATAGTTTTTTCATCTGCTGTTGTGATTACAAATTTCAGACTGACAGCCTATTGATGGCAGAGAAAGTAAACTAGGAGAGCCAAAGCTGCTTGAGAGAACATGGTAACCTGAAAGAGCAGTGCATTTATCAGTCAAGTTAGAAACAATACAATAACATAAAGCAAATTGCAATTTTCCTTTGTAATTTTAAGGAGAGAAAAAGATAATTCTTACAATAAAATTCTGTTCATGTAAGTCGAACTAAGCCAATTTTTTCTAGCTAAAAATCTGATGAAAATCAGATGTGTTTTTCTCAACACATCTGCATAGGTATTCATAGCAAAACCTGAATGTGCTAAAGTGAGAAATCTGTCTGAGAGCCTGCATGGCTAAACAGCTGCAAAAGTCAGCCCTACTACAAGTTTAACATACAGCTTCCAGATCTAAATTTGCAAGCAACCAAAAGGACCTTCTCTAATAAAGGCTATTCTACATTGGCAGGCTTAAACAGGGAAAGGTTCATTTGCTTGCATCAAGCACTTTAAGTCTCACAAGTAGGTCAAGACTTCAGCTTGCTTGCTTCATGCATGCTTCTGTCTCCTAGCTTTCCTTGGTTATATCATCATCAGTCTAACTTGCAGCCTTCCTTTCACTAATGTGAACTGCAGCTAACATTAGGAACTGCAGCCTCTACAGCTGTTTACTAGGCTCTAAGCTCCAAGGTGCCATACCACTACATTTTCTATTGTCTTACACAGTTTACAAGCTACAACCTTACCTACAGTCTCTTTGTAACATATAAGACCCACACTGAAGAATATATCATTATGGTGTGGCTGAAAAAGTTCAACATCTTGAACAGACTCAAACTGTTATCTCCAATGGATAAATGATTCTCAGTATTCAACCTCTTGCTATGTTTGTTTCTTTTTGTAGTTTTTAGATACTAAACTCTCTAGTCAAGCAAAATACATGGAGTTAAGTGTTAGCCTTAGATCAAAGTTTCTCCAAGATCTTCATTCTGTTACCTTAACAACCAATATGTAAATCTCAGAACTAAAATTCTCATCTAAAGCGACTCCCTATTCTACACCTATTTCTGTTCTAAATATTCACTGAAGGATTACACTGGAATTCAAATACAACACGTACATGCCTGTTTTACCATACATACCAAAACTTAAAACACAAAGCAGTTCTCCAGCCAGACTTTTTTTAATTTAACCCCAGAAAGTCTTTTCAATGCTTTCCTCAACATTCAGTCAAAATTACAGAATTCTCAACAATTACTTTTGTAAAGGTGCAACCAAATCATGTTGGCATACGTTTTGTTAGTATGTTAGAATATAGTTTGTTACATCCTTTAATATAGGAAGGCTAAAATAAACAATTACATTCTAACAGTTACATCTGGTTGTCTGATAGAATATTTTCTCTAAAAAAAACAATTGCTAGTTCAGGTATACAGCTTGCTTACTGAGCAGAACTCACAACATTCTTTAATATCTTAGGTTAAGAAAACCAGTTGAAAAAAGAAAAATACTAAATATTTTATTTACTAAATATAGTAACTAGGATCATACTAAGAGTACCATAATACCTACATAACTTCTGAAAAACTTTTTTTATGCAAATTGACGGTGCTATACACAACATTTGAAACTAGGAACATCAATTGTTTTTAAAACTAGTACTAGTTTCCTCTTTGAAATTAAAAAAAACTTAGACAAAAACAAAATTACTGTTTTGTAATTACAATATAGTAGCTGTACTGTAATGAAAATTCCCCAAAAAGCTAAAACACAAAAATAGATCATAAAAAGGTATTAAATAATAAAAGACTAATATTTCCTTATTCTATAGTTGTGTGCTATACAATCAACAAACACACAATTAGTAGAACAATAGGGTTAGGCTAATATTTCATAGGTTGCATAACTAGAAAGATTACCACAGCAGAAAAAGATACTCAAAAATAAACCAACTACTCACCCAAATCCCAGACACAGAAAAAAACTCCAAAGACAGTAACCTCCAGAAAAAGAACCTTTGCCTGAGGCAGTCAGCCCTTAAATGGGGTCTAGGAGAGGTGCAGCCAGGCTCCACCTCTTTTGGTCACACAGCTCGATTGCCTTCACCTGTGCTCCCGTGGCTGACTCAGTGCTTGCCTCAGGTGATCAATCAGTGGTTCCGACCATGACTCAACAGTTCCCACACATATGCATTTGTACAATGCAAGAAAATCAGAAAATGAAAGTGAGTTGTACAAAATGCACTGATGGATTCATTGTTCCATTGTTGAAGAGTTGTTGCAGAAATGCTAAGTCACCTTATGCTAAGCCTCAACCAGTGACTGAGCACCTGGTGGGAGATCAGGGACGACCTAAGGGAGCTCAGGTGCATACAGTGTACCTGAGTGATGGAAGGGGAGGAGCCAGGATCCACCCCTTCCCAGACCTCATTTAAGGGTTGGTAGTAGGTATAAGAATACTTGTTTGGAGGTTTCTGTGTATCTGAGGCTTTCTGAAGGTAAGTGGTCTATTCTCCTTTATTTTTGTAGCTCTTGTGTTTTAGTAAGCTTTTGTTTGCTCTCATCTGGGATCTCATTGATTTTTTGTTATTGCTGGGCTTTCCATGGTATTATAAGAGTAGTTTTCAGAATTGGTTTAGCACATTTGTCAAAGTATGTATACATGCGTTTATTTATCATATTGTATTAGGGAAGATTTGCCTTAGTGAATCTATGTTGTTAGGTTAAATTACAAATGTTCTTTGGAAGTGAAACACTCATGTTACAGTATTTAATGGTAGGAGTTATAGGCTGTTCTTAAAATAAACAACTTATCTATTTTAAGTGGAGAAGACTTCATTTTACTCTAGAATTTGTCTATTAAGCTAAACTAATTTTAGTTTGTAAAACTTTTATTGAGAATACATATGTTGTGGGTTTACTTTTTCCATATCTTACCATGCTGCTTGTTAGTGTTGATGTGGCCAAAGAAGACTTCCTGGGAAAGATTTCTGGCAATTGCAAAGAGATAATAATCTTTTGAGAAGTTGCTGACTGTTCATGACACAAGGCCTAGAGCTGATAGTCTGTAGATCACTCACTCTATGGGATTATACTGAACGATGTGGGGTAATTAACAGACCTCTAATGAGGATGAAGAATTGTCTATGAACTAGAGAGAAGTGCAGAGTTTGCTTGTTACAACACAAAGTTGTAAGTAGTCTAGAAGCAAGAATAGCTATCAGGACACGACAGTTATGCAAAAAGTTGGCAAATTCTGTTTTTCTTTTCTACTGGACTAATTGGTTAGGTTAATCTGATAAGTTTCAATAATAATATTTTTGATTGGTTGTTCTGGGTTTTCTTTGGAGGGAGTGGAGGTATGAGTTATTGTTGGTTTTTACTAGATTTTACACAAATCGTAGTTGGTTTTTTGAGCATTTTGATATTCCTTGAGGAGATTTTTTGAGGGTGGGAATGAGGCAGAACAATCTCAAAGCTTTGGCTAACATAACACCTCATACCAGATCATATGTGGAGTTAGTTTCATGGTCTCTAAGAGGATTCAGTGTTCCATAAAGTCAGTAGCCTCAGTTGGACAAGTAGTGTCAAATGGGAGTCGCTCAGGTCAAATGCAGGCAAAGATGGTTTGGGACAATGAGAATGTGTCCAAGTTGTGAAAGTACAACACTCTCCTTGTTCAGAAGGCTCTGGAGGGGAGAAATATAACTGGTTTAAGGAAAAAAATTAAAGATATAAGAAACAGTGTTTCCAGGCTTAAGTATCTTAATGAAACATCTAAATCTCACTTTTTCATAGTGAATGTGTTAGCACCTCACAACACCTCTATGGGGTAAAATATTTTCCAAAACATACAACAGCAGCAATGTCTGAAAAGCAGTCTTCAAAACTCAATAAATTCCTTTTGCTTCTTAAAGGTGTTCTTCACACTGTTTTTTTTTGTGAAGAGCATCAAATTTGTTCAGCTTCTCAAATAAGACAGCAAACTATCTTAGTTTGTTTCAATTCAAAACATACCTGTTCGTTTCTGAGGGGGGTGTTTTCTTTCAGCGGTGTATTCAAGCTGATCAGAAAAGAAAGATGACTTGGGTTTTTGAATAGCAAGAGGAAATTCTTTACAGTTCTGACTTATGCCCTTTTCAAGTACTTCTGTAAGAGTTTAGTATTTAAAGAGAGATTCAAATGTACCTAGAAATGTGGTTATGAGGACTCCAGCAGAAGATAGTGACAAGTATATGTCACAGGTATGAAAAATGTACTGCTTCTTAGATATTAACAGTCCATTAAAATTACTAAAAATTGATTGAAACATTGAAAACACATTAGCCTTTCATGAACAGTTTATGTATAAATGCTTATTGTAGGTTGTGATCAAATCAGTGTTATTTATAAGAGTGCCCTGATGAGGGCCATAAGCACTTCGTATCTGCTTCTTCTAACCAAACCAGAACAGCATGACTCCTGAAAGCATAGAAAGAAGATATTGTATGGGGGGGGGGCGTGTGGTGGACAAAAGAATGCTGTAACATTAATGCATCTTGATACAGACACTTCTGTATAACTGCAAAAGCAAGAATCTTTAAAGTGTGCAGCGAATTAGACTTGCTTATGCTAAGAATCTTGGAATTACAGTGACTAATGCAGTATCTTGTGGTATGTCAGCAGTAGGTTTAATGCTTGCAAACCTTGACAGAGAACAGGAGAAAAGATTACAGTGGAAGCTGAAAAGAAGCTATCCATCCTAATGTAAGTTCACTGAGAAAGGAAGAAAAAGCCACAGTGATGCCAAACATTTTTGCTGGGCGGTTGATACTTAGGCAGGCAGTATCCCTGATTATTTTTTTATGTGAGTGGCTCAACTGTTTCACTTACTGCTCCTTCTCACATACTTATTTGTGCTTTATTGGCCCATTTGTATTTTGTTATGAAACCAAGATAATAAATTCTTCTGAGTGAAGAATGCTTTCTGGTAATTATGGATATTTTACATTGAGCAGGACTCTGAGATGCAGATGACCTCCTGAGATGCACTCATTTTGCTCGAGTCCTGTATCTGTTTCAAAACACAAAGGTAAATCTGTATTTTGGCCCAAGGAAAGAGACAGATGGCCTGTATGAGAGCAGACCAGTCTGTGAATAAAGTGTATTTGTGCAAATAATGCAGAACTACTTAAAGGAGGTCTGGCTTTTTTTAGGCAAGATAACTTGGATTTCTTACACAAAGTCTAAAGCTCTGTGACTACTGTTGTGTGAGGCACAGCAGTGGATACTGAATGTGTCCTCAAGACAGAGTAAAGTGAATCGTGTTGTGAATTTTTTTTCTTACAGCTTCTAATCTGTGATGCCCTGAACCAAATTCAGGTATCAGAAACAACACTAGATACTTAGCAAGCATTTGGACGTTGTTACTTCCATACTCCACAGTCCAGAGGGTGACTGATTGCTGTAACTATTAGCCTTTTCCATCTGAAATTCTCCAGGAAGTAAATACATACTTAGTTTGGCAGTAAGCTAGGACAAGAATGTTTGCGTTTAGTTTTGAGACAAATCCTAACCTGTATTGGCTAAAAGCAAACTCAGTATTTCTTTTGTGTATTAGTATCTCCCAACTCAGTATCATCTGTATCTGAAGCTTCCTAGTATTTAATTCTTAATACTTATGTCCAGGTTTTTTGCTATTTAAAGCAGCAGAACATCAAACTATATAGCCTTTTTCTGTATATTGCTGCATATATGTATTTTTGCACACACCAAATATTCAATAAAAGATTTTTTTTTATGCACAGCAAGTTTTGTTTGTTAAATGTGTTGGATAGAAGACTTGCAGCAATAAAGCTTTTTTGCAGGCAAAATGGGAAAAAGTATCTTCTGTAAAGATGAGTCGTGTGCTTGGATTGCTGATTTGCTCATCACCTATGGGCTATTAATACCTCTGACAAAACCACAGCCTGTTTGAGAACTGTCACTTCTCTTTTGTATGTTACCTCCCCTTAGAAATTGTAGGAAGAAGGCAGTTTGGAATGAAGTATGGTACTGTCTGGGTTTTGCACTTGTTTAAACAGTTTGCTGGTGACTAACATTGGTATCTAATTAAAGCTGCTGTTTTCCTGGTGTATCTCTTGAGAAATGCTGCCATCCAGGTAATTAATGTGCTGTGACTGCACTGGCTCAGATGCCTAGATCTGAAGCAGGCTACTTCAGAGCGTACTATGTTATTGTTGACCTTGGGCATGTTCTGTGCTGGCCTCTATGTGAAACAGGATTTGAGACTACATGGGCATCAGAGCTGATCCTGCATGACAGCTCCCACTTCACTAGTATTGGCACCATCAGTTATATCTGATAGGGCTAATGTATTGCATCATGTGTGAGGAAGACAATTTGTTCTGTCATTCACAGTCAGCTCATTGGTGCTATGTAGTGGGAAACATCTTATAGAACAATCAGAATTGACTTTGCTAGGGTCAGCCTCATTTGATGTACTGTGGTGTCTCTGAGTAAAAGCACTCTGCTGCAGCGGTGCCCTCCTTAGCATTTGAGCTGTTGCTTTTCAGACTACAGCTTCGCTTAAGGTCTCAGGGGGGCAGAGCTGCTTTCCACTTAAATAATGAATGTCTAGCCCAGACAAATTCATTAATCTGAGATGTTATCATTGCTCATGTAAAATGTGTTATATCTGCAATTTCAACCTTGACTGCAAGCAAAGGAGTAGTAGGCTGGGTTGGTTTTGCCTGTAACAGAGATGGTGTAAAGCTGTGAGACCCTTTTTTCCATTTGTTCAAGAGCTACTGGGATTATGTCAATTGAGTTGATATTTATGATATCTGTGATGTACATCAACCTTCTTTAAATATCTATGAAGGCTGCTCCAAAAGTAATGCCTCTGGTTTTTGTTGGCCAGTAAGGTCAGAGGTGGATGTTGGTGGTTTTGTGGTGAATTTGAACTTTCTTGCCAGTATTCCATTACATATTGATGCTGTGCAATGGATGACAACAGAAGGGGCAGCATGACAAAACTGTGTCTGACATAGGAGTATATATCAAGCGAAGGTGTGGAATTCAATTCCTCCATGCAGAGGAAAATTGCACCCATTCACATTTATCAATGTTTATTGAATGTTTGTGGAGACCAAACAGTGAATGTGAGCACAGTGAGGCAGTAGGTTGTGTGTCTCAGGCATAACAACCATGACTTGAGAGATAAGCTGTGTTATAGATGGCCATGCAGACTTTTATAAGCATGGCATGCAGGCTTTTCATCATTGCTGGGGAAAATTCATAGTTAACGGTGGTGACTATATTGAGAAATAGCATTCTGTAGTTGAGAATTTACTCTACCAAAGATGTTATTGTGCTCCTTGTGGTTTCCATGGATATAGGAAAGAATTACTTTTGAAATGAAGTACACACAAGTGTGTATGTACCTATTTAAGTTTATGTGCATAATTGCCTCCAACATCATATTTTGGCATATATATTTGTCTCAGTTAAAACATTTTAATATAACTACTTAACAAATATTCCCTCTCTCTTGTATGCATATAAATATGCATACATGTGTAGGTAGCTATGATTATGCTTCAGTTGAGTAAACATCACAGGAAACAAGTGAGGCAAATTCCTGTAATGAACTATTCAGCTATGACCGAAGCACCTGTGTGCATGCTAGGTATTTAAAGAAAAAAAGTACTATATCTCAGGCTTACCTGTATACAAATGAGAGATTGTTTTTGAAGTTGTGCATGTTTCCAAGTTCTCAAAACTTAGCATGGTTGAGAAGAGAGACATTCCTCACAGGGACCTGAGATACAACAGAAATGCAAAGGTGTGATGTAAGAGTGTGAAATTAGACTGAACTCTCCATCAAGTCTAAATAGAGATAGTAACCTCTTCCTTAAGAAAGGCTAAGAATGAAACATGTTTGCAGAGAAATGGCATTTTCACACAGTTAATGAATTTGTGAAATTAAGGCAGCTTTCAGATCATCTGCAATTAATAGAAAGTCCATGCAGTGGAATAACAAGTGGCACTTGCAAATAGCCTGCCCATTTCCAGTCATTTTGTAGTGTCACCATAAACTAAGACAGGTTCTTTTCATTCTGCAGCTTTTCAGGTTCTCAAAGGTACCTTTCTGCTGAGTAACATCATATATCGGTTCTGTGGGAACACTGAGCACATGTGAGTCACTCTGCATCAACAAGAGATGCTTTCAACTTACTGTTTCAAGGGGGCATCTTGCCAGTGTTTCTGCTTGAAGAGTTTTACGTAAGAGTTTTTTAACCTGAAGACAGCATATACTGATCAGTTTTACTCCGCAGTGTTTTTTCACTTGCAAAAAAAAAACAAAAACATTACAGTGTTCAAAAAGTTTGGTTTATGCCATGGAAATTGATTCCTCTTGTCTCTACCACTGAATTTGGCCACATGATTTTATTATCCAACAAGCTGTTACTTTGACTAACAGTAGAACATCATGCCTCTGTCTGATCATGCAAAGCATAGGAAAGAACATTATCAAAGTGGAGAAACAAAAATGCTTATTTAAACCTGGTAGGTAACATATAGGGAGTGCAATATTATCTATTTATTATGAAAGCATACTAATGCTAGTACTAATTTTGTCTTTCAATTATTGAATCCAGTATTAATTTGTAATTGGAATTAAGTAACATTCCCTGCATGCTTTTGCTTGTGCCAGTTGTTTTGTGGGCTGGTTTGGCCTGGTCTGGGATTAGTGCAGTGGGGGGAGCCATGGACCCACGCCCTGGTAGAGGGGAAGGGGGAAGAGATAGGGAGACAGGCCTAAAAACAGCAGCAATAAGCTAAGGGTGGAAAAACTAAGTTATTAAATGTGATATCAGAATGAAAGATAACACAATACAGTATAATTATAAGTGAAGCTAATAAATCAAATAAAGTGAGAGTCCAGTACTGAAGGCTTGACTCAAATGCTGAAGGTGAGATGGCTAGGGAGCACACATGGCAGACAGGAGTGTAAAAGAAAGAGCATCTCAGACTTGGGAACAGTTGTATCTTTCTCTTTAAATGTGAAACGGAACAGTGACAGTCTTCTGGGATATGTAGCTCTTCTGAGAACCAGGTACCTGGAAATATTGGCAATTCATGGAACTGGAGCATTAACTCTTTAACTACCAGTGATCTACGTGATGTTACAGTGCGGAATATTGATAACAAATCATAAAACCATGGCAGCTTGTAAAATTTGGGGAAAAAAATATCTCTATGAAGAAAGCATATGATTTTTATTTACTTGGATTTACTGTCTAATATTATACCTGTGTTTCTCCTCCAAAGCTGGAAGGAAACACCACATCAGGTCTTGCATCATTAAGTGGGAACATGCAGTTCATGATGAATGAGGTGTGCTGCCTCCTAGTGTAATTCCTGGATCACTTGTTAAAGATTTTTCTGGATGGCAGAATTATGAAGGAATGGTTTGTATTCAGTTAGCACTTCCTTCCGCGAGGAAATAAAACATATCACCAAATGTTTGCTTGGTTAAATCTAGTAGTGGAATGAATTCCAAGAAAGCTTACCAAGCAGTAGATAAATAGCAAGAAACCTGAAAAAGAGAAAACTCTGCACTGTATGCTCAGAATGGAAATAAAAGCAGGGACCCATCAGCTGCCTGCCCATGATGATGGATGGAAGGTGCTTTGTGCAGCTTATATCCCTGTATCTCCTTTGTACCAAGCTCTGCTTCTCCTTTGGAATGCATTGACAGAACAAACTGTTTCTGCAAGGTTTTGCAGGATCTGTACAGCATGCTGACTGATGTACTGATGCTGAAGGTCCATCTGTTCTAATACCTTGTTTCCCACTGAATTTGGCTTTTCATGCCTACGCTCTGCAGCAGTACAGACACGTGATTGCTTTCCCTTTCTGGGGAGAAGTGACTTGAGTGCAACAGACCAAGAGGAGAGCAGCAGTGGCTCTGGTCTGTGCAATGGAGACCACTAAGGGGTCTGACAGGTGTGAGTTTGGGCTTCTCATCCTCATTTGGATAACGATTTCATTGTATTTTTCAGGGTTAAGACTCATGCTTTATCTGTAAGAGAATCACCTGCCATCCTTAAAAATGAGCTGGGAGCACGGATCCTGAGAGAACGGCAGCATTCACCTCGAATCACTCTGGCTTGAAGACTTATGAGAGGAAAAAAAGTAACCAAGAGCTTGGGGGTGTTTTCTGAGCCGTGGGTGAAGCAAAACAGGTGTGTTGAATTCACTACCAATAGCTTGCTCATACTGCTTCTGAGTATGGTGGTGATTTAGCCCTCGGGGCGAACAGCGGACAGGTGGTGCCACGAGGTGACCAGGACCTCAACCTCTCCCCTTCGCTTTTTTCCTATCCTCGCCTCCCACCGCACGTCACGACGCATACCCGACTTGCAGCACATTCCCACCCAGCCGGGGATGAAGGCTGGGAGCCGCCCCGCCGCCCCCGGCCCCTCCTCCCACCTCCCCCGCCCCTCACCCTGTCTCTCCTTCACACTCGCTGCCCGCCGTGCTGCCGTCGGGGCGGTGTCGGGAGATTCGGCGATGTGCTGAGAAGGGGCAGCTCCCATCAGGTCTCTCAGCGCTTCGTCCTCCTCCTCCTGCCCCCTGCCTCCCCCCGCCTCCCTGCAGCGGCGGACCCGGCGGTAAGTGGTGGGGAGTGCGCGAGGGGCTCTGCTCCCCCGGGGCCAGGCAGCCGCAGGGGTGAGCGTGCGTACAGGTGCGGGGACATAGAGGTGCTTTTACCGCCGAGCGTTCTCTTTTGGGCACGAAGGAGGAAGGGGGAAACCAGCGGGCGCTGCGGCTGCCGTGTGCGGGAGCTGCTGGGTGCTGATCTGCTCACGTCGCCCTCTCCTTCTCCTCGGTAGTCCCTATAGATACAGCGATGTGCTTGTGGGAGAGCCCTGCGTGTTTCTTCTCCTTCCACAGGTGCCCTTTCTTTTATTTGGACAGAGCCACGTAGCCTTGTATTGCTTTCTTCCCCCGCGTTGCACCCAGGTGCTCCCACACCTGCTCTCGGTGCTGCCCACGGTGTCACTGGGGCACGAATTCTGCCCTTCTGATTGCCACCGGTTAGTAGCAAGCTGCCCGCTGCCTTCCTAGACATCCCTTCCTCCGGCGGAGGGAAGGAACTATCAGGCAGTGCTGCTTCTGAGGGGGGAGGGATAAGAGGGCTGGGGCTGTTGGTGACGGGATTGTGGAAGGGGTGCTGACTTGGTGGCTTTAATTACTGTCTTTGTAGCTTAATTGTAGCATGGGGCTGTATAGCTGCCACAGAACTCACTTGCTAGCTGTAGTGCGGAGCTGTTAGCATTGCATGTTCTTGCCTTTGCTTTTTTGTAGTTTTTTTCCTTAGACTTGATACATGTGCAGGATCCCTTTGGAAGACTCGGGTAGTGGCAGAGTGATATGGGCTGCACACAAAATGATGAGTTGCTGAAAAGTAGTGTTTTGTGTGTGTTCAAGTCCTTCTAGAACACTAGCAGTTCTTCCAACAATAAATTCATCATTTAGAAGAGGTGTTTGTGAAGTAGCTAGTATTTAAGCTTTTCCTTTGAATGAGAAGGTAGAGCATCAGCAAATGATCTTGTTTGTAGATGAACAAACTGCCCTTTGGAGGAGATGGTGATGGGCAAGGGATGGGTTTGCTCCTTTCCATGAATGCACCTTCAAATGAGAACTGCATTATCAGTAACCTCTCTGTAGATTTCTGTGGGAATTCCCGGGCCTTCTGGGAACTAGTCTAGCCATGCTGCTTGACTGTGATAGTATGTGAGAAGATGTAAAGGGGATTTGTGTAACTGAGCTCCTTGGTTTTCTAGTTATTTAACTGTTTTTTCTATTGGAAATACTGAAAGCAATACTGGATACAGAGAGCTATGTGTATATTGCTCATAGAGATGTAGATGGAAGTTATATAATATGTTGGTGTAAATAACGTAATTTTAAAATATTTTGATGTTCAATCAGTTTTAATGATTTTTTTTCCTTTTCTGGCCAAAAAAAAAAAAAGCTGAGAACCATTATTCAAAGCATGCTTTTCTTTTTTCTAGTTTTGTGTGAAGAAATTCTTCAGCCATGGATGTGTTCATGAAAGGACTTAACAAGGCAAAGGAGGGAGTTGTAGCAGCAGCAGAAAAAACCAAGCAGGGAGTGGCAGAAGCAGCAGGAAAGACGAAAGAGGGAGTCCTCTATGTGGGTAGGTGGGCAGCAAGGTCATGCTGCTGATTGGTGTTCCCTGACAGCCCGCTTGTCTGAAAGAAAGAGCTGAATTCTCTCTTCTCTAAAATATGTAATTGTTTATAGGAGAGGATTAACTGCAAAGTAAACTGGATGAGATTTGAACTCACCTGAGCTCCAGGTCTTTGAAGATTGTTTGCTGTTTGTGTTTGATTGTTTGTGGTGTCATACGTCAATGTTTTTTCTTGTCACTGTGTTGTGCTGGCCATGTGGCTGCATCATGGGGCTGCTCTTGTAATGCCATACAGGATAAGCTTGTCTGGTGGAAGAGGCCTTACAATGCAGGTTACTGGCTGGCGCCATTCAAGACGTTTGCTATATGGAAGGTATATTCACAGTCCTGTAGGATGCCTGAATTTTAAGCAGGATTTTAAAAGCAAAAATCTTGATGTCGATTCTGGAACTGAGTAGAAGAAATGTCAATGGCTTTTCTTGGAATAAAACAAGGATAAGTGTACACCTTGAAGAAAGGAGCTTGTTTCCTTTCTTCACTAAATAAAGATCCTCAACAGTAACATTTGAAATGATGAGGTGTCAGCTCCTTGTCTTTCAAATTTAACCTAATGTTCTATACTTAATGCACAGCAGTTATTTTCCATGGCTTCTCAAAGAAGAACCTTTACAGTCATTAAGCTAGGGTAGTTAGTCCTTCAAGCAGCAGTGGAGAAAATGGGAAGCAGATGTTAGTTGACTTATCCAGATCAGGGAAAAGATTCTTTTCAAATCCCATGTTGATATGTTGACTGCATGATGATCATCTTCACTTAGCAACTATCAGGCATTAAAATACTGTCTTGTAAATGCCATTGTGAAAAATCCACAGGAAAAGAACCTGCCAAGACCATACAAATAGGTCATTTAAACCAGAGGGATTTCATATTTTTCTGTCAAATTCAGTTGTATGGTAGTAGAATAGAAAAGAGAATACACTTTTTTTGTAGATTCGTTCTTTTTTTTATAATTTGGCAGCAGGTTGTTTCTATAATGGATGTTGCTTGTAGCTGGGCAAGTGTGTACAAATATTAAAAAAGTTGGAAGAGTTAAAAACCAGAGGTGTTTATTTCAAATGGAAGAACTGATGTTTCTGTATGTCTTTCCAGGCTTCCTTCTGCCCTTGCAGGTTAATGCCAGTCTGTAACAAATTATTTCTTCTCGAGGTAGTTCAGACTACTCATTTGGAATATATTTTTCTCCTGCTGAGCTGTAGCTAAGCTCGGTGCTCTTGCCAACAGAAATGGAAGTCATTTTGAAAAGTAGTTGTAAGATGAATCTATTTTAAAATGAGCATCTGCTCATTTTCAGCATTAAAATAGCTGTTCTTTCACTGCGCATCATGCTTGATATTAAAATTAATGTTTAAGATATGGCTTTTTTTAATTTCATTTTTTTTGTTGATCTTGAGCATGCTTTTAGGGTCACTGATTTCTTTGTATTAAAAACCTGTGTTGTGTGCTGAAATAATTCTTGTCCTGGAGCTCTTCTCGTGATTGTAATAATGTCTGGAACTAGCTGTCCTCCCAAAGGCAACAGATTTCCTGTTTGTTGTCTTGAGAGAGATTTTTGCTGAGGCTGTGCTTCATAGGGCAGGCTTGCTGTTAGTTTCACGACTCAAATACCTTGGTCAGCGGAGCCCTGAGCTGTAAGGAGGATCTATGCATACGACTACAGTGTGATGTGAAGCAAGCACCTTTCCTGTAGCAGATAAATGCTTTTCAGGAGGAAAGACCTATATGCAGTTTCAGTCGTGCAGGCAGAAAACACTTGAATTAGAATTGCTGGCAGGTAATGTGTCTGGGTGCATGCTTGGGTTTAGTGAGCCAAGGTTTCCATAGCTGAGTTTTCAAAATGTTCTAGTAGGAAATGGACCCAAGTGATAAACTTGGTGGGTTATTGGTTCCTTGGGTTCTCCAGCTGCAACTGGAAAAGCCAGAATTAAAACAAGGAGAATAAACATCAGAGCAGAAACCAATAGGCTCAGCAAATTGTAGTGGTGTTTGGGGACCCCTCTGAGGGCTCGGTTCTGGCAGAGGGCAACTGAAACTGGGTCACAGCTCTGTGATCACTGCCAAAGCAGTATGTGCGGGCTGCCCAGAACCCTTTCATTTCTGAGCTGGGGATGTCTCTGTGCTTCCTAAGCACACAGCAGGGGCAGCTCATCTCCTGAACGGCGTAACAAAGACTGATGTGATAATCTCTTGGTTCTGTAGGCTGATAATGCTTGCAATCTGGAAGGTGGTAAAAAACCCTCTATAATCAGAGGGAAGGAGCAGCATAGTGTGTTAAGGATTCTCAAGATTTCTTTCTTTCTGCCTCTGTAGCTGGGTTTTCAGATACTAATGGTACAGTCAGACAGTGAGGTTCTGTTGTGAAAGCTACCTGACATCTTGCAAAGAGTCTGACAGAATTAGGCGAAGAAGGACCTGTTAATCATTTTTAGTTTCAGCAGTCATCTCAGTGGCATTCAGCCTTCCTTTGCTGTTACGGAATGAGTAAGATCAAAAAAAAAGTTTGGTCCAGATTTCCAAGGTGCTATGGTCTTTCATTTAAGAGATTAACTTAGGTATTTGGGAGTGTATTTTACGTAAAAAATGAAAATGTGCCTTTTTGTCTAGGTAATGGTTAACTATTAGAATAAAGATTGTAACATACTTAGATGCAGTGAGAATCTATTAACAATACCTACTGTTTAGGTTCAAATGTGAAACATACAACTCTCACGGAGTCTCCTGGAGGATTAATGGGATTCTTTTTTCTTTCCATATGGAAGTTATCCCTCCCACCATCCTGGGCAACCTGATCTGTATGTAGATGACCCTGTTCATTGTAGGGGAGTTGGAATAGATGGCCTTCAGAAGTCACTTCCAATGCTTAAGGATTCAATGATCTTTGTCTTTTCAATACTCAGAATATCCTTTAATACAGTCTGTAGTATGTTTTTATTTCCTTTTTTCCTGAATTCCTCTGCTGATGTCCTTCGATGCTGACCAGTTGAAATACACTGGTTTTATCTTGACTTACAGAAGCAGCATCAGGACCTTTTTTTCTTTCAAAGAATGACCTGATTGTTGATAAGGAAGGAGGACTGAGATATCATAAATTCAAAACCGGGTCTCCGTGTATCCTTCAAAAGCTGTTGGTGTGAAGCAGGGAAGAAAAAAGTGGCAATGCTTACCCACACTGACTTTGAAGCCAAGATCTGTGACTAAGGATAATGCTCTTGCATGCCATCAGTGATATGCTGCTAAAGGGTTCCTTTGAGTTCTGTATTGTTACCAGGGAGCTGCCGTTTGTGTTCAGTTAACTTCTGAGTGCTTGTGCAGTGCTCAGGAATGAAGGTTTCCAATTTGATCTCTGTAGCCATGATATACTATAGCAGAACACAGGAGTAGCTTATCAGGAGGCAAGTTTGTGGTAGAAGAACTTACTGCCCTGTGCTCAACTGGCACATGACCTTAGAATAGATCAGTCCAGTCATGATCTATTTGGCAGGACCATTCAAATTCCTCTGCTGTACTTTCTTAAGGTTTTTTGTTTTCCTTTGGTAATAGGTAAGCTTTGTGAAGGAGTCAAGGGGCTGGAGGTCCCTCTGGTGGAATAGTGGGCTTCAGCACTCAGGAGCAAGTATTGTTAGGATTTATCTTTCCCCTGATTTGGCTTGTCTCACCATCTTCAACAAGCTCTAAGTGGCGTTGAATCTCAGTAATGGCTTGCTTGATACATTCTAATCATCTCTCAAATGACCCAGAAATGAGAGTGTTGACAAACTGCTGATAGTGATGATGGTAAGTAATGATATGAAGAGAGTCTATTGTTGTTTTGGATAGTAACACAAAGACAAAAATTGTGGGTTTGGTTCCCTCTGAGTGACTTGAATATGTATTATAATGAGGAAAAATATCGTACTGTGCGCTACTATTGCTCTTGATTCAACCAAGTAGGCATAGGTCAGTATCAGATTACCTCTTGTCTCATTTCTCCATTCTTCCTGTTGTGATGAGTATAATGAGCTGGTTTATTAATGTTTTGAAAACAGCAGAATGAAAGACAGGTAGTTTATAGGAGGAAACAGTGTGGATGACTGCTTTCATTCATTCCCAGCCAGGAGTTGCCCTAATAAATTCAGTTCTATTTATAGACCTGTTCTGGCAGGTCCTAATGTTCTTCTAGATCCTATTGTAGTTCTCACTGGAGAAACAGCTATTTCCATTAAGTGTGCAGGAGTTGACTGTTTAGCTCTAATGTATGCTCTAAGTTCTGGACCAAAGCTTAGCTGATTATTTTCATGAATGTGTTTCTTCTGTATGGGTCAGCAAGTTGTGCTTTTGCTAAAGAAAAATCTGGCAGCAGAAAGAGCTGGCATTCCTAGATTAGCTGTGCTTATAGCAGCATTATGGAGTTAAGAATCAGCCTGTGGATGTTCCTCTGAAGATAAGTGCATTACAGAGGACCCCAGGGAGTTCTGTCATACCATCTATCTCTCACCTTCATCCTTCTCAGCTCTAGGGAGCTGCATGCTTGCTATTCACAGGTTTGCATTTGCTGATGGCTCGGGTTGCAGGCAGTAACTTAAACAAGATGAATGAGATTTTGGTCAGGTCTACAAATGAATTTAAAGTTATAGTTAATGTTCAATAGATTTCAATGTTCAAATAGATTTCGTGTAAGCCTAAAATGGTGTTTAGTCTCTTTGTAGCAGTCATTGCTTAAATTCCATTTGTTTTTAGTGCTGTTCAGTACTTGTGGTGCTGCAAGATTGAGAAATGAAGTCCTGGAACAAGTCTTTAAATATTAATACTTTGGATTCACCAAAATGATTGCTTCTTCCAATAGTAAATATTTTCACTGAGAGAAAACAAACTGCTCTTGAAGAGAAAATCAAAGTAAAGGAGGAAGGTTTCTCAGTTGTTCAACTTGATCATTATTTAAAGGAACAGGAAGTCATTTTACTTGATGCAACTATGTTATTTAATTTTGTAATAAAATAATGTTCTTGCTCATAGGTAAGAGCCTTTTCAATGCTGTAATCCAGTAGTGCCATAGATACGTGGTATAAGCTCTACAAATTGGCACTAGCAGTGAACAGTATTGTTGAATGAGCTTGTATGTTATTTCAGTGTTTATTTATATTTTAAAGAATTATGAGAAAAGTTGCTTTCTTCTAATGTATTTCTGCTCATTTATCACTATTTTCTGTTAGTATCAGTTTGTATTTCTATTTATTTGTATATAGTGACAGGCTAAAATTACATAAGTAGAAGTGGTAAGTCAAATACTAATTATAATGTTTGAAATACTGAGTGATATGTGAATATAAAGAAGAATGATATATCATTTTTTTGGTAGTTAACAAGAAGTCATTATCATGATATTTTCACATGGGCGTTCCAGAATGTGGCTTGGTCTTCAGGGTGCCAGAGTTGTGTTGCTTAAACAGGTCTTATATTTCTCAGTGCCGCGCAAGCTCCAGGGTTCTGTTTGCAGAATCTTTGATTATTCTTGTCTGTGATAAGGAAAGCAGTGGATTAGGTGAGCCTTCAGTTTGACCCCACAGACAAGTTCATGTTTAAGTACTGTCTGCAACCTAATGTTTCCCTTTCAGATTGCTCTTTATCTAAATCCAGCCATTCTACAAGCTCCCGGTGAATTTATTTACTAAGTCTTTCTGTAGGCTCAGTTAAGCTTGTTAATTCCCTAGAAACCAAGATTTGAACTAGAGTTGTTAAAAGTTATAAGGATCTTCTGGGAACTTGGGCTCTGATCTTCTGAAAATGCATGCATGAGTCTCATTAGGATGTTAATAGTAAGATGACTTCTGTGCAGTTGTCCCTGTGAGTTTGTGGAGTGGCAGACTTAATTAACATGACTGTTAAGAGAATGGTGAGAAAGTCAGTAAGTACAAGGAATAAACTGCAGAAGTGTTTGCAGTATTATCATTTTTCTATAGTCACTGTGTTCAAATAGATGCTTTCAGTAGATAGTTTCAGCCTTTCCCTTAGATGGCATTTCTCTTGAATTAATTTGGGAATTTAATTGTGCAACTGTATGTAGTGTATCTATTTGTTCTACCTTATTATCCATCTTGTCTTTACCAGTATGTGAGAGCAAGTACTTTAAACTAAATACTGTGCTTTGTTTAGGTTCCAGGACCAAGGAAGGAGTTGTTCATGGTGTCACAACAGGTAAGTCAATTTTCCTAATTTCTTGATTAATCAAACTTTTCTCTATTAAAACTTTGTGTATTTCTTTGTGAATGTTCAAGGTTCTGAGGGATGGTAAAATGTAGAAAATTTAAGAAGCTTAAATATTTATGTAAACTGCATGAAGTTTTATGTTTTACAGTGAAATATTTAAGTTTTACATCATTGTTCGTATGTGAGGAGGATTTTCTAAGCAGTATTCTGAGTCAAAGTCAAGCTACCAGTGTGAGCTGGAAGGCTAGTGAAACCAGATTTCAAACAAAGGAAATAGCTTGTTTGTGGAAGTGGGTAAATCAAAGGTATTTCTTTTCTGTTCTTAGTTAATTGCCAAAATATTCTATGTAGGAAAGTTACAAGCATGTTGATGTTTCCTTTTTTTTTTTAAAAAAAAGCTTTAGTTTTCTTGTGAAGAATTTCTGAAAGCCTGGTATATTTGTCCAATTATGTTTGCTTGTGATTTGAGGAGGAAGAGTAGTGGGATCTGAAGGTGGGAGCGGAGAGAAGAAATACCACTTAACAGGAGGGATGTGGAAGGTATAGTAGGGAGTGAATTAGACATAAGTTTGAAAAACATTTATCTGCTGATTTAGGACCCTGTGGAGTCAGAATGTATGCTAGTGAAAGATAACAGACTAATGCAACTGATGAGGGGGGCAAATAATGTAGAAGAAACCTCCTTTATACAGCGGGGACTGTAAGAACTGGGTAGAAAGGTAAAATCTCTGGGATGGTTTGCAGTTAATGCCAGCAGCAATGCCAGCATTTTGTCTGTGCAAAATTCTTTTTGATAATTCACAGTTAAAGCCATGATGCAAAATGGGGGTTTATCCTATGTAGTTAAGTTAGCTCTGCAGCAGTCATTGCTGCTAATTGCAGTCTGTGTGATTATATCCAAGCAACCATTAAGCTGGTTGCCTCTAGTATAGTTAAGTGTAACTATAGTATAGTGTGTAGTTATACTGTGACAGTCTGTGCCTGAAAAAAAATTCCCATGAACTTAATACCTGTTATTGTTGTTCTTAGTGGTTCTTCATCCTTGTCTGAGAACTTTTTCCAACTCTACGCTACAGGTAGTGACTTCTTAAATTAGGTCTTACTGCAACACAGTATGGATGTGCCCCATCTCTCCCTCTGCTCCTAAAAGATTATTGTGACTCATCAATATGTCTCCTAGGAGCTGGCTGAGTGGGAAGATAGGAGGGAAATAGCTTGTAGGAATGAAACATGTTTCAGATTTTTGATAACTAATTTGAATTTGTCATGGTTTGGAAGATTTTCAAATCTTTTTTTTAACTGCATAATCTCTGTTGCAACAGTACTTTAAATGTTTAAGTTATTGCTAACCATGTATCTTTACATGGGTACTTCTACACTGAAAAGGAGTGAATTTGCATTTCAAACTGATTTACAGGGATCATTTTTTATACAAACTGAAACCGGTAGCCAATAATTTGGAGCATCTATTAGGTGGCAGAATGAATGAAAATATTGTATGTATATGAAGTGCAGGAAAACTTGAGCTGACTGTAATGCATTGAATACAATGTGTAACTGTGTTCTGCAAAATATGAGACTTTTGGAGATTTAAAGAAAATGCTCAGTTAAGAAATTTGCAGTATTTTTCTTCTTTAAAAAAAACAACTGAACACATGAAAACAGAAGTAGGAAAGAATTTTTTCTTTTGCTTTTAGTACAGCCAGCTTATCATTGATCTGTGCTTATACAGGTCAATACAAAGAATAAACTATTAGATTTTACTTGACAGTACTTAATATTACAATTCAAATGTTTGTAAAGTAAACCAATTCTATATTTAAGAGCACAGTTGATCAGAAATTCTCTGACAGGCCTTCAGAACTTAGCTGCAGGCTAAATAGATTTGTTCTTGTTACAAGGTTTGAAATCTCTGCTTGTTAGACCTAAATTAAGAGATATTCAGGAGGATAATTACTGTAACCAATAGAGGATTGCAGTAGAATAAGACTTGAGGCATCTATATCCCATATGATCACAGATGTGGGAGAAATAGATAACACTTGCATGCAAGTTAACAATTTTTGACTAAGCTGGGCTCTGAGAAACTTGAAGTAATGTTTTTCTGTAGTAGGCTAGCTTAGTGGGAGATTCCTTTCCCTCCATCTTTATCAGATATAATATATGTAGTGAGACAGGAAATTTTAAACTAAGAACAGAATTTGACAGATTTGAAGATATATTAAATTTTGTTCTGTGTGATATATAACAGACTATAAATCAAAACAGAGGACGCATCTGTTCTGTGCTGCGCCTCTAAGTAGAATGTTCAACGATATTACTGGGAATTTTAGGCAAAAAGTTCCTCATTTACTTTATGAAATGAGTAACTCATAGCTTGAGAATAATGGTCACTGTGCCACAGTTTGTGCAATTCTGACTCATTTCAAGTGGTTGTAAGGAGTTTGGCTGTTGAATGACAATGAAAAATGGACAGAGGGCATGCAGAGGACAGAAGAGAGGACCTAATGTAAAATCCTGAGAGCATAATTTGTAAAATGGAGCAGTACGGACTTGGTAGTATGAGAACAGAGGAATTGCTTGGACACAGAGGGGAGGAGCAATAAAATAAAACAAACCTATGAGGTGCTGCTCTGGAAAGTAGAGGACGGGAGGTGAAAACGGATTTGGATTCACTGAATTGATTTTTTGAGATAGAAAGTCAAGATGCTTTTAAAAATGCTGGTGAAGTTTATTCTGGAAATCAAATCTGTTAAATACTTGAAATTACAGTGATAATGCTCTCCTTCAAGGTACTTCTAAAAGCCTACTCGTCTTTTTCTCCCATAGGACTAGGAGTTTGCCAGTTCTGGTGTTCTTAACATGTGCTGGGATGTTGATGTGAGACTCGATGCCTTAACACATTTTCTGAAACATTGATTCAAGAAGTTAAAGACATGTGAATGCAAAATAGAATTGCAGATCCAAATGAAACTGTTTTCAGTTAGTCAGTTCTTTCCTACTACTTGAGCTGCAGGGTCTTGCTAGTTTTCCTATTTTTGATTAGTTTCTGATGTAAAACACTGGTGGAGAGACTGAGACTCCTCAAAATGCTGTCAATGAAACCACCTTTTCAGACTGTGGCTTTCCAAACCCAGAAATTAACAAGGCTTAAGGAGTTTCTTGCTTTAAAGTATGACCTGATTTCTACCAAGTTTAGTCACTTCAAGACACTGTAAAATGAGGATGCCTGGCTGTGATTCACAGGAACGCTGTGAACTTATTTGTCAGGTCACCCTTTCTCAAAACTTCCAGAGAAAGTGTTGCTTATTGGTCTTACAGGGGTACTAGCTTGTGTGTCTCGCTTGCTTAATTAACATGTTTTTAGCCCTTTGATTCTAAATTTGTAGCAATTATCAATCTTACTCATTCCCAAGAACAAGTGCCTGGAAATGTGCAGCATCCAAGATGGGATATTTATGGACTGTCCTAGTAGTCCAAGTAAAACTCTGGTTTGTAGAAAAGCTCAAGGCCAGAAAGCCCTTTGCCTCAGTACTACTAGCAGATGTCGGTTTCCTGAAGTGAGATGATGAGATAATGTTAGCAGTTACCAATTACAGTCTACTTTTTTGCCTAATTTTTTTATTTAACTGTTCTTATTTGGTTGCTTTTTTATATTCTTAGTCATGGGTATTCCAGTTGCATTCATTTTAATTGTCAGGTATCTCAGCAAATGTATAAACTAAAAAACCCACAATTTACTTATGGCTTCTTCAGAAATGAATTTTTCAAGTACCTAGGGCAATCTTATTGTCTGAAATAGATATTTGAAAGTATTTACTAAGAATTAATGTCACTGATTCAGAGGAATCATGGGGCTTTCATCTACTTGCGATGATCAAAATAGAAAAGAGCATGTTCTCACTTTGAATTGTTCTGAAGATTGTTAATTTATTACCCAGTTGTCTATGATGAGGGGAAAAAATACCTTCATTACTAATCTGTTGGTAGAATGTTGCAGTCAATACTAGAATTTCCATTTCAGTGTTAGCTTTTATGTGGCCATTATATCATTTCAGGATCTCTTATTCCTCAGGTGGTCACAAGTAATCAGGCCACAGCACAGTAGAGCTCTACAGAAACCAATTTACTCTTTCTCAGCGCTGTGATGCAAAGCAGATATCAATTTGTTGAAGACTTAACAGCTTAAATTTATTTAAACTGGTATTCAGATTCATTTTGTTAGTTGGTATGACCCCTACATTCAGAATAAATTAATATGCACTTAATGCTTGTCCCTTGTTACTACTTAGTGTAAGCAAAGAAATATGTAATACTAGAAACCTATTTTTTTCCACGTCACTAGAGTTACATAGCTGAAGGCTTATGAAGTTAGAGCTTATTTACAGAATCATTCTGGTATAGGAATGTTGATAGTGTTTTTGTGTTCTTTAGAAATGGGAAAAAAGAGCCTTTCCTACTAGTGCATTTACAAATCTGTGCTATGTCTATAGTTTGATTTATATCAGTGGCTTTAATTTCTTAAAGACAGTATTTTTCTAAAGAACCAGCTTACTGTTTTTGTACCAAGTGATAAGCTGTTATGAAAAATAACAGGTTAGGAATTTGTCAGTGGCTTTGGATGCCTAGAAATCCTCACTGTTTTAATTGTATATATTTTTTTCACACTAAGTTGGTTAGAATGAGCATTAAATCATTTGCCTTGTCAGTAGGTACTTATTATTCAGGTCTTTAAACTATGTACCTGGTATGAGATTTTACTACCTTTCTAGCCTTTGCAATTACTTAATATCAATCATAGTAATCTACGCAGCATACCCTCTGCTATATAAAGCTGACACTTTTTTGTAAGGAGTTAAGGAAATTGAATTTATGTATTAAAAAATAATTTCTTTGTACATATTTTTTAAAAAGTTTCTGAAAGGTTTGCCTGTACATCAGGTAAAATCAAGCCTGTGCTCGTAAGGGATGCAGCAAGTGTTATGAATACATTTTATGGGTCAGATGGAATTTTGATTGGAGAAAGGACAGGATTAGTTAGAATAACAAAGCTATGTGGTGGATATTTTTGAAGAATATTCCCTTGTTTAGTGAGGTAAATGCACTTTTTTCTGAAAATCTGGTCCTGTTACTTGAAGGCATTAATTCATCCAATCTCTTAACTCTTAGAGGGGTTTCACTGTAATGCGAGTTGCTGTTAGAGAAAATAGCCCTTGGGAATGAATGAGCAGAAAGAATCCAGTAATACTCTGAAAGGTAGAATGTTGGCCACTGATGTATATGTAGGCTAAATGAGTTTTTGTTTCCCTAAGGCTTTGAAGTTACTTACTAATCCAGTTTGCTTAGGCATTTTTGGCATTCAGTCTTTGTAGTTTGTATGTTATGGATGGAAGGATCAGCAGTGAGGTGGAAATCTCAGAAAATCAGATAAAATGCTGTATTAGAAATTCTCTGGTCAAGCAGTAGTAGCTTTGCTTATTAATCACGTATTTTAAAAAAGAAAAGTAATAATAGCTTTTGAGTCTCAGGTTTAAAATAAATGAGTCTTCCATGCCATGTGACATGCAGTAGGGGTGTTGAAACTAATTTGAATGCATTTCCAAACTGTGCTATATGCAGTGCACTGATTAGATATTACACTGAGTTGGGTGTAATAAGGGCCACAGATGAGGTTTGCTTTTACCTTTCCTGCTGTGATCGGATTAAGAGAGTAATCTTCATTACTGAAGATCTATTTGAGGTCCTATGGCTTTTCATGATGTTGGGCTGCTGTTGATAAATGATTCTGAAAACCTCAATAACCTGCAGTTCTCAAAGCTGTCATGTTTTTCCATCTTCTGTTTATCCTCAGTGGCTGAGAAGACCAAAGAGCAGGTATCCAATGTTGGGGGAGCTGTGGTGACAGGGGTGACGGCAGTGGCCCAGAAGACAGTGGAAGGAGCAGGGAATATTGCTGCAGCCACTGGCTTGGTGAAGAAGGATCAGCTGGCTAAACAGGTTGGTTTGTTTACGCTTTTTTCCAGATGAAGAAGTAAATGAGTGGCCCCTCTGAATTCAGGGACAGATAGAGTGATTCCTTTTGCCTCAGTTGGTGGCATGAGGGTTGGGGTTAAACAAATGAATAGCAAAGAAAAATGCTAGTGTTTGTACTTGTATTTTGACAACCTGCAGTATTTAAGAACTGAAATAGGACTCAATAGTTTCTAGTTGGGGCGAATAGCTGTAGGACTACCATAATGTTGAATGGGAAGATGATTTTTTTCTCTAACTCAGGACTGAAAAGGAACCCACTAGAGCTGAAAGATCAAACAGATGAATCTCAAGTTTAACAGCACAATTTGTACTGTCTACAGATAAAAAGCAGGGGATTGTATATCAACCCACTGACTGGTTAGATCGTTAAAAGTCAAGATCTAACTGGACAGTTCCTGCCTTCTGTGAATACAGTGGCATGAACTTGAGAGTTTTTCTGCACAATTTTGAACTTTTGAAATTAAATTTTCTCTAATTTTATTTGGGGAAAAAATGTAGGTTTGTCTATTTCAGTACATATTCACAGAAGTGAATATTACATATTTACACAGTCTCAAGATTTACTGCAGTTTTTTTGCTAATATACTGAAGTCATACTCTTCCACTTAATCTAGAAAGTGACCCTAGGCAGCTGATAGAAATAATGCTTTCTAAAATGTGTATGGTATTGGTTATAGACTAAAATAACCCAGAAAAATCCCATAGTTTTCCTTTCCAGGTAGTATGAGCATTTGTTTATAATAACAAAATGCAGTTCTGAGGAATACTAGTATTTTCACAGAAAATGGGTGTCATCGATTTTTAAAATGAAGCTCCATTGTGTATCTTTTTTCCATTTAGTGTCCAGAGGTGCGTTAAAATTGAATCCTTTAATGCTGTTCTTTATTCTCATCTGTTATTATAGTGTATTTCTGTCTTTCTCACAAAGATTATTGGTGTTTAAATCAGGATAAGAAAGTGGTATTACACTGTGGTAGGCATTCACTCCTCTGTGATAGATTGGTCTGGAAAACATCTCGCAAGTGGTTTTGTTCTTTTTTGAAGGAGGTTTCCCAGGGGAACTTTTTAGTCCCTTTTTGCTCAAATATAAAGAAAATGTTGCTTTTGATGTGCCCATGGTTTTTCTTAAGAGCTATTTTCAAGGTTTATGAATTTAAGTACTTAATGAACTTGCCAGGGGGACAAAGGAGTATGGAGTGACTGGTAGTATACACGCTTAGTTTCTGGTAAAGCTTATCACTAGCTTTTCGGTACTTTACTGAGGATATCTTTTCTGCTGGTAGTTCTTTGAACCCTTTAATTGATGGCATAAAGATCATTGTTGGCTTGATGTGCAGCTGCCTACTTTAATATTGACCATAACTAATACTTTTCATCTTAATGTAAGCTTATAGTGCTTTATAATTATAAAACATGATGTCAATCTCTATGGACTTTGATTTAATTCTATTCTGTACATTATAATGCTTACATATGAGTTATGATGGCTGTAACATAATAAAATCACATCTTATGTGAAATTCAAGAGCATCCATAATGCGATGCGTATTATTTCATAGCCCTATAAATAGGTCTGTTATTCTGAACGGGTGCTTTGTTCTTGAGATACAGAAAAGCATTCATTTGATTCTTGATACTGGTATTTTTAGTTAGAGTTACTCAGTCACACGCATGGCTGTCTAGCTAGCTGATCAGTATCTACAGCTCCTAACAGGCTCCACTGCATCTCGTCCCTTATTGGTCTTGCAGGAGTTCAATAAACATTTAACAAATATCATCTAAATCCAATCAGGGAAAGGTATTTTAAAGTCTAGTATATTTTACATTCATGTGCAGTTAGGATATTGAATTTGCCTTGGTTTTTCCAGTGATGTTTGGATGTAGGCATTCAGAATACTGTCCATTCATATGGGTCAATTTAGTTTCAGTGTCTGTATCCAGCCTTGGAAGTAGGAGACCTCCAGAAATAAGGGAAAGGTGAAGTGAGTCATGGTTTAAATCTCAGTGTAACTCTGTATATCTTTTTCTATAAGATAGACTTTCCTAAGGCTGTGTTATCTTCAGGCTACTTTAAACTGAATGTAATAGACCACAACTAGCAAATTTGTTCCTTGAACTTGAGTGTGGCTAGCCAGTGTCTCTAGCAGATAGATGTCTACCAGAAAAACAATTTGGGATTGTCTTAAAGCAGGCAACTGTGTCCAACTTCAGAGTGGGTCCAGAGGAGGGCCACAGTGATCCAAGGGCTGGAGCAACTCTCCTATGAAGAAAGGCTAAGGGAATTGGGCTTGTGTAACTTGGAGAAGAGAAGGCTCTGGGGACACATCGTTGTGGCCTTCGAGTACTTGAAGGGAGCTTGAAGCAGGACTGAGTTTTTACACACTCTGATAGTGACAGGACAAGGGGGAATGGTTTTAAACTAAAAGAAGGGAGATTAAGGTTAGAGGAAGAAATGTTTTACTCAGGATGGTGAGGTGCTGAGGAGATTGTCCAAGGAGGTTGATGCCTCATCTCAGGAGGCACTGAAGGCCGGGTTGGATGGAATCCTGTGCAGTCTGATGTAGTGATTGACAATCATTCCCATGTCAAGGGGGTTGGAACAGATGAACTTTAAGATCCCCTTCAGTATAAGCTATCCTGTGTGCAAGACAGCACTTGCTTGGGCAGTGCAAGTTACAAGATGGAGCCTCTCCTGCATGAGAAGCAGGAACAGGCATCCAGCTGAGGCTATGCCAAGCTGCCAGTCAGTGTGACAGCTGTGATAGCGAGTGACAGGGATGTCTTGATAGTGCTATTCAGAGGACTGCCCCAGAGGGCATACATGCTGGCAGAACCTCACTAGTTAACGCAGTGGAGATGGTTTCAGTTGCTGGATTTGTATTAATGTTAAAAGATCTAATGCACTGAGTAGCATTTCAGTAAATGACAAAGAATTTGTAATATGATCTAGAATTCAGAAGTTTTCATGTCTTGCCAACATGGGTCTATTAATGAATTACTTGTAGTGTATATTAGGATGTTGCACAGAACCTATTAAAAATTAACTCTTTGTAAACTGGTTGTAAATTAAAGCCTAATTTTAAAATCTACTAGCAATAATACTTGTTATTTGTAATTATTGTAATTCGTCCTGGAAGCATGAGAGAACAATGTCTTCATGCTGCCTTCTTTCTGCTAAGAGAAGACAATAAAAAGAGATACTGGGTTATACTGATATAAGATGTTTTATATTTATACTGTGCCTGTATGTCCCTTATGTCTGTGCATAATAAGAGTATGCTTTTAAAGCAATTGTATAAAAGGTGAAAAATGTCAGGTTAATGATTATGTTTACTTTACAAATGAATGTTCTTTTTAAGTTAAGAAAGCTATGAAATACTTTGAGTATTGTAGTTTTAGCTCAGTGTGTGTGCATATATTGATAATCTGAAGGTATAACAACTGATTATCCATTATATAATATTGCTTGAGAACCAAATACATATTATCAAGTTTGTTACTTCCAAAAGGCAATCTGTAGTGGAGATGCTAAGTCATGGCCTGAAGCAGTGATTGAGCACCTGGTGGGAAGGCAGGGCCAACCCAGGGGAGCTCAGGTGCGTGCAATGTACCTCAGTGAGCAGGAGTGGTGAAGCCAGGATCCACCCCTTCCCAGACCTCACTTAAGTTTTGGCAGTGGAGGTGAGGGTATCTGTCTGGAGATCCCTGTGTAGTGGGGATCTTCTGAAGGTAAACAGCTTCGTTTCTTTGTCCACTGCTGTTGCATTTGAGCAAGTCCTTGCTTGCTGTAGCCTAGGACTTCACTGCTCTGGTGTTGCTTTGCTTTCGGTCACGTTACAGTAATTAAAGAATGAAAAATCTACATTCGTGCTATCTCATGGTTTTTGGTTCTCTAGTGTTGCAGGAGCAGATCTGTTTTAGTTTTCTGACTTCTATAATGAAAAATTTTACTTATACTACTCTAGCTGGAAAAAGGCAAACAAAACAATCAAGTTCAAGCCTCGAAGTACTTGGTGAACAATGCTAAGATTTAGTTAGATTTTTGTGTTGAAGATCTTACTAAGGTAAATGGTAGCAAGCATCATCCTTAAGATTATGCTCAATATCTTTAAGTGCTAAATCTTTTATTTCCAGTGTGCCTCTTAATATAGCATATTGCATTCTGAATAATGCTTTTGAAAACAAAATTATAGTAGCAAATAATATAGAAGTTAATGTGTAAATGGTTAATTACGTAGCTGATAACATAGTTTATTGGTTTATTTACCAAGCATTGAGGGAAAAGTAAGATTGTTTGGTTATTAGGCATTTTTTTCAATAATTAAAAGAGCTTCTTAATTGCATTTAATGTGAAAATTAATATATAAGAATTTCTGAGTATTCCTCAAAGTGTTGATTACCACCTTTAATTTAAAATATTTTATTTTCAGCTGTTTTTCACTTCATATTTTGCAGTTTAAAAATGTAGAGATCTACCTGGAAAATTTCTTATGCATTTTCTTATGCTGTAGGATCCAAAAGCTTAGAACTGACTTGTGTATTTCACTAAAGTAATATGGAAAAATTCAAACAGGTGTTTCCTCATTTTTCTCTACTTGTCTCTATTTTTAACTTTTTAAAATGTTTTGCACATTTTTTCCCTACAGTGTACTTAAACTTACATTTCACGCAAAATTCTTGAGACTTTTAAAACTGATTTGAATGCACTTTTTTGAGTAACATTAAAAAGAAGTTTAATTGTTCCAAAGTTTGGTTTTAAATAATTCATTTTGACAGAATATTTATATTTCCTTACATTCTGACCATCTTTATACTCAGCATATCTTGCAGAAGGTCTGGCTCATTCAAGAATCACTGTTCCACGTCTTTCCAGTCTATAGGTGAGCTCAAAAATTCAAAGGAGAAATTGCTGAACATAAATATACTATTTCATCCTTCAGAAAGGGATTAATGAGTTTTTCCAC